TATTTTCTCAATTTTTTTATTAAATATTAATAAATTAAAATTGTATAATGTATAGGTATTTAGTGGACAATATAAAATCAACGAACAACTTAATCCACCTTGTAGTTAGCTTGTCACGTCCATATCTATGGAGTGACTTCATTAATGTGTAAGGCTATCTATCCTTAAAATCAATACAATCACCCATAAAAATTTCAACCCAACCATACTCCTTCAATAAATTATTCCAATAATAAAACTAGATGGTCTCCAAATTTAAGGCATAAATCTCTTAGCCAAAAATAAAAAATATTTAACGACTTATTTCATAAAACCAAATAATCTTCTAATTGAGTTATAACTAATTTCCTATCAATTTATTCTAACAATCTCTAAGTCCCTATGCAAGTCTCAATGCTCATACTTCTTCACCTAAAATGAGATGAAATTTGAAAAGTGTGAGTTTAAGAACTCAACAAATAGTATACCCATCCAGCACAATCAAGCATAAAAATGTTTAAACTAAGTTTTATTGTAAAATGAAACAATAAAAAAAAAAAAAAACACATTTCTTTCCTCAAAACCAAAGCAATCCATTTTTCATCCTTTATCGCTATGTAACAATCCACTATTCACAATCTACAATACTGAATCCTCAATCCACGAAATCCTCAATCCACGATACACCACCCATATTCCACATTATCCACACTTTACAATCCATAGATCTTGGGTCTATCACAATACAACAACTCAACTCCCATCAGGATTAATTATATAGCGAGGATGACACAAAAACCATTCCAAAATAACCATTTCAACAAAAAAAAAAAAAGTGAAGAAAACAAATATAAATTAGCCACATACATACGACCATAATCTCATCTCAAACTTAAATAAAATATCATGCTTGGTCCACCAATCATCTCATTCCATGATTAAAATGTTTTAGCAAGAATGTCACGCCCCAGAACCCAAATCCAGGGATGTGGCAGATGCCGTACACTTGTGAGAGGATCCCACAAATGCACAAGACTTGGAACTTATCCAATTCACAATCTGATACCACAAAATCTAAAGATAAAATTACAAAATTTGCTCTAATATCATAAGATCTCCAAATAAGTCTAGTTTACAAGATCATGATTTATATCTAAAATCCATGTTCAATTTACAAGATGGCTAGCCTTCTAACTCGTCACTCCCCTTGTTTTTCCCCGTCCTTGACTTCGCTTCTTAAAATGGTGAACAAGAAAAAACTATGAGATAAACTCAGTAAGTAAAATATGGATAGCCCTTAATTAAACTTATAGCATGCCAACAAGTATCATCACGAAAAACAGATATAGTACAGGAATGAAATAGACGTCTCCTCTATAGGTCATGGCTAGTGTTATAAACCTCCCACTGGCAGGCACACGATTTACTAGTGTATAATCCCACTATCAAGATCACAGAAATACCAATGTTTAACAACTCCCACTGGCAGGAGGAACCGGCTCTACAGAAATACATGTCGACATGTGCTAGCGTTTATAAACCTCCCACTAGCGAGCACACGAATAACATGACCATATTGGAGACAAAACAGGCAGAATTTAACAGAAAATCATACTTTACAGATAATTTCCAAATCATCAGGGCAGTTAAATAAACTCCAAGCAGGCATGCTCAAATCAATAAAAAGAATAATAATTTTATTTCAAATCAATCATGCTCATTTTTGTATAAAATGGGTTTAGTCCCGCCACCACTTCAAAAACAAGTTAAAATATACTTTTAAAGTCGAAGGGCGTTACCATAATTTACTTACCTCAACATAGAAACTCACTCGCATAAACCGGGGACTCAAGCCACATACTAAAGTGCCCCAAGGATCAAGAGCCTAACCAAATATTCAAGATTTAATTCTATGAGCAATTTCATTTACCGGATTGTGTATATATATATATATATTTATATACACAAATACATATATAAATGGTTTCCCAATCTCATGGATAAAACAATGGGGAACAAGGCTCTTATTTAAATTCCAATTTTCCCAAGTGGACTCCCAGACAAACAAATCGGAAAAACAGGGCTTGGCAACACAAGAAGTCACGAGATTTTTTTTTTTTTTCTCCAAAATTGAACGCTACAATCGGGTTATATATATGCAAAATCACCCATACAAAATTCTCCAATTCTCACGGCAAAAGGGAAGAGCACGGCTTTGGCAAAAACAGGGGCTAAAACACACGGGATTTTCCTCCAAAATCACAGCAGCCAAAATAAGCTAATTTTCTACATGAACTAAACTTAAAATATGTTCAAAGGCTGCCGAAATTTATCCCTATTTCAACAGAATTTTCAGACAATAGAAGGGGTAGCAACTAACGGGTTCCTTTCACAATACACAGAAAATTGCAACAATACAGGGCAGCAATTAATGGATTAAAAATCCAGACTTGGAGAGCTGCTACCTACCCGAATTTTCGGTTAGCAAACCGGGTCTGGCGAGCTTGGCAGTCGGTGGGAGTTGCAGGGGAAGCTCACGGGGCTATCAAAATTTGAAGAAACAACATATTTAAAATGAACCCAAGCTAAATAAAGCTGAAAAGATGGAGTTCATGGCTGTGGCTTACCGGAAAAAGCCCAGAAATTCGTACTTAGCAGCACCAGCGGACAGGGGAGGAAGAGCAGAGCAGAGCAGATCTGGAAATTTCTCTACCGGGGAAAGAATTCTGGGTTCAATTTCAGTCCTAGAATAAGAAAAGAAGGAGAAATATCCAAGCTTTCTACCGGTTTCTTCAAGAAGATTGTTGCCGGCAGCTTGGTTCCTTTTTTTTTTTTCCTTCTTTCGGGTGGGCTGCAACGGGGAAGAAGATGACCCGCTTGGCTGAGGAAGAATTAGCAGCCTTACCCCTTTTATCCTAATTTTTACTTTTTTAAAATCCCTCAAGTTTCGAAATATTCATTATTAGGCCTCAAAACAATATTTTCTCTCACAAAAACCCTTACTTAAATGCTAAAATATCACAAAATTTTGGGATATTACAAAGAATCATTAAAATAAAATAAATAAAAATTGGACATAACTCATTTAAATAAATCAATTTACTTTAAAAACACTAGAGAGTATAGTTATTTACCTCAACAACTATCTTTCAAAATGCAATTATCACACAACTATTCGAAACTTAAATGAAAGTCAAGTAATTAAATATAATTCAATCACCAAGTAAAAATTTATCCTTTACTTATCAAGTATCTACATGAAATAATTTCTATAACTCATGCCACAGACATCCTCTTCCTCGAACCAAACCACTTCAACATACACTTTTGGAAACTAACCACCTAAATAAATAATTTCCCCTTGAAAATTCCTCACGCTACTACCCAAATTCATAATTTTAATATTAACTCCAAAATCTATTTGTTATAGTACAATCAATCTCACCAACTATGCATCTACCCATGCTCTTCATTCCCAGATTCTTAAATATTTCACCAACCATGAACAATAAATTACCTTTACCTATGCTTGAGAACAACAGCCCCCATTAGTGTCTTTTATTCTCTTCTGATGAGGATTGGTGAGACAAAGGAGGGCCTAATAAATAAATATTGAGAGAAGCTTTTAAATTCCACCCCTCACAATTCTTTTAATCATCTAAATTTAAGCTCAAGAAGACAATTTACCTTAGATTGACTTTAGTATGGCCAGATACCTTCTGCTGTGTTCCCTTATTGGTGAAAGGAAGAAGACATTCCAAATTCTAAAGAAAAATGAAGACTGCTAGACAATTTTGATTTACGTTTTTAACAAAAGGGGTTTTGTACAACCTAGTCCCTATGATATTTTTACAACTTAGCCCTTGAACTCTTCACCTCATTTTAATTAAACCCCATATTTAATCCTATCACATATACACCTTCTAAGGGTTTAAATAGTGTATTTCAATCTTAAGTAAGTAATCCTTGGGTATTACATCATCTCCCCTTTAAAGGAGTATAGTCCCTAAACTCATCCCTACATTGACAAATAGGTATGGCTACTTCTCCTTTGCATCCTCCTCCAACTCCTATATTGCTTCACGTTCAGTATGATTACTCCATTGAATCTTAACATAAGGAATTATACGTCTCCTTAGCACTTGCTCCTTCCTAACAATATGATTAAATGCTCCCCATAAGACAAATCTTCTCTGAGTTGAAGTGGAAAATGCTTAATTACATGACTAGGGTCTGAAACATATTTCCTTAACATGGTGACATGAAAAACATTATGAACTTTTGACAAATTAGGTGGCAGTGCCAACTTGTATGCTACCTTTCTAACTTTCTCTAAAATCTCAAAAGGACCTATAAACCGAGGACTAAGTTTTCCTTGCATCCCAAACCTCATGACTCCTCTAGTTGTTGAAACTTTCAAAAAAACCTTTTCTCTCACTTGAAATTCTAGATTATGCCTCCGATTATCAACATAACTTCTTTGCCTGCTTTGAGCTATATGAAGACGTTCTCTAATTAGTTGTATCTTCTCTACAATCTGTTGAACTAGTTCTGGTCCTAACATGCTTCTTTCTTCTACATCATCCCAACATACTGGGAACCTACATTTCCTGCCATAAAAAGCCTCATAAACCACCACCTAGATACTTGCTTGATAATTATTATTGTAGGCAAACTCAACTAAGGGCAAATGTTCATCCCAAGCTCCTTTCAAATCCAAAACACAAGCTCTCAACATGTCTTCCAAGATTTGAATAGTTCTTTCTGATTATCCATCTGTTTGTGGATAGTAAATAGTGCTAAAATTCAACCTAGTGCCTAGTGCCTTATGTAAACTCTTCCAAAACTGTGCTACAAATTGTGTATCTCTATCAAAAACTATAGACACAAGTACCCCATGTAATCTAACAATCTCTTGCACATATAACCTTGCTAACTTTTCTAATGGAATATCTTTCTTCACTGCTAAAAAGTGGGCAAACTTAGTTAACCTATCAACAATTATCCAAATTGAATTATATCCCCTAATAGGACTTGGCAACCTAGACATAAAATCCAAGGTAATGTGCTCCCACTTCCAGTCAAGAATAAGAAGTGATTGCAAAGGACTTGTTGGCCTTTGATGCTTTGCCTTCACCTATTGACAAACTAAGCACTGAGACACAAAAGCTACAACTTCCTTCTTCATGTTATTCCACCAAAAAAGTCCATTTCTTTAACTCAGCATCTTTAGGAGCACACAATATGTTCCCAAACCTTATAGAGCCATCTTCATGAATCTTAAACTTTTTCCATTGTGGATGTCTCGACTCTAGTTTCTGCTTAATCTTTTGTGAGAACATATCATTTTGCTAAATAGTTTTAATTCTTTCTATCAAAGTAGGTTGAACTACTAACGTAGCCATTTGAACACCAAAACTAGGCTCTTTAATCTCCACTTGAATCCTTTCCAAGTCTCCCAAAATTTGCCTATTCAAAGTGACTGAAGTGGCCAAATTCCCATGATCTTTCTTGCTCAATACATCAACCACCACATTAGCCTTGCTTGGATGATAACTAATAATTAAATCGTAACCCTTCAACAGCTCTAACCATCTCCTCTACCTTATATTCAATTCCTTTTGTGTGAAAATATACTTCAAGCTCTTATGATCAATGAATATCTCACATTGCTCACCATAAAGGTAGTGCCTCTAGATTTTTAGAGCAAAAACCACTGTTGCAAGCTCTAAATCATGAGTTAGGTAGTTTTTCTCATATAGCTTCAACTGTCTAGAGGCATAAGCAACCACCTTATCATGCTGCATCAACACACAACCCAATCCTTTCTTTGAAGCATCACTATAGACAATAAACCCACCATTATCATCAAGAATGGTTAGGATTGGAGCTAAAACTAATCGATTCTTTAGTTCCTAAAAACTCTGCTCACAATTATCAATCCACTCAAATTTCACTCTTTTCCAAGTTGATCGAGTTAAAGGCACTACTAAGCGAGAAAAACCCTCTAAAAATCTCCTACAATACTCAGCTAAACCTAAGAAACGTTGAACCTCCATAACATTAGTTAGTCTGCTCCACTCCACTACTATTTTCACTTTATTTAGATCCCAAAAGATTCCATCCTTAGACACCACATGTCCTAAGAATGCCACACTATTGAACCAAAACTCACACTTTTTAAATTTTGCATAAAACTTCTCCTCCCTTAGGACTTGTAGCACCAAACGTAGTGCTCCTCATGCTTAACTTTGCTTCTAGAGTACACCAAAATATCATCAATAAACACCACCACGAATTTATCTAGATACAACATGAACACTTTATTCATCATATCCATAAATGTTGTAGGTGCATTAGTCAACCCTAATGGCATTACAAGAAACTCATAATGTCCATATCAAGTTCTGAAAGTAGTTTTGGGAACATCCTCTCCCTTAATCTTCAGCTGGTGGTACCTAGATCTGAAATCAATTTTAGAGAAAAACTATGCCCTTTTCAACTGATCAAACAAATCGTCAATCCTAGGCAAAGGATATTTATTTCGGATAGTCACTTTATTTAATTCCTTATAATCAATATAAAGTCTCATGGTGCCATCTTTCTTTTTCACAAACAATACAGGAGCACCCCATTGCAACACACTAAGCCTAATAAAGCCCTTGTCCAATAAGTCTTATAACTACCCCTTTAGCTCCTTTAAATCAGTTGTCGCCATTCTGTACAAAGCCTTAGAGATTGAAGTAGTCCTTGATAACAAATTAATGGAAAACTCCACTTCTCTATCATGAGGTAAACCAGTAAATCATCTGGAAAAACATCTAGGAATTCCCTTACAATGTTAATATCCTTAAGTTGTATTTCACCAGATTGGGTATCCACAATGGTGGTAAGATACCCTTCACACCCTTTTCTTAACATTTTACTAACTCGCAAAGCAGAAATAATTACTGGAGTAAACCTCCTTATACTACCTACAAAACTAAACTCTTGTTGACCAGGAATTTAAAAATCTATCCTCCTTCTATGACATCCAAATTAGCGAAGTATTTACCAAGCAAATCCATACTTAGAATAACATCAAAATGATGCATATCTAAAATTATCAAATCAGCAGGCAGTTGTCTTTCATCAACACGCACCACATAAGACTTGCAAATACAATCAGTCGTTATCTTACCCTTAGTAGGAGTGTCAACACATAGTTCATATTCCATGTGAGTAACAAGCATACCATGTTTCATGGAAAAGCTATTGGATATAAAGGAATGAGTAGCACTAGTATCAAATAACGTATAAGCATATGTTGTTGAAATAAGAAGCGTACCTATCACCACCTTATCAAACTTGTTGAGTTCTAGTAAACACACAACCTTAAGCAGCAGGTCTTTGATTACCTCCTCTATTAGGTCCTAAAGTAGATGCCCACTCACTAACCAGAAGCTGTGTCACTTGAGTAACTTTATTGTTCTGCCTTACTCGCAAACATTCAATTGCCTTGTGTCCTTTCTACTCACAATTAAAACATGCCCTTCCCAAATTTTTGGTACAAGGACAATCTATAGCATGGTGTCCAACTTGCCCACAACTGAAGCATGCACCAAAGAAAGTCCTATTACGAGGATAATCAATAGCTCGATGTCTCATTTGCCCACAAGTTAGGCAAGCACCTGTTAGCCACCTACAGTTTTGAGCCTCATAAGGACCTTGACATTTCTAACACCTAAGGTTTCTCCCTTGTTGATTCCTGACCCCTAATTGAGTAGAAAATCTAGTGTTTTGTCTCTTATTCAATTCGAAGCCCAAACCCCCAAATCTGTTTTCACTCTATGCTTCAGGCCACCTT